CTCATTAGGCAGGTTACTCTCTTGCCTTGTGGAATGTCATGTGAGTGTCAAATTTTAAAGCCCTTATTTTCGTAACACATCTCCCAGGAAATTCAACTGTCTGCTCTTGATTTTATAGTCAGTTATCCTTTCGCCGCATGCAGAGACACGGACAATTAGTGGGATGTAAGTGCCACAAGAGGAGCTTCCTTCCAGGAACTACTGCTCCGCAAAACCGACTCCCAAGATAGTGTTTCTCCGATCACTGCAATCTCAACATTTTCAACTCCATTGTTAACCGTTATCTTCCCCATACATTCCAATAAATCGTACCTCTTACTCTATCTCGAGTGGCTCTTGGGTCTTATACAGGGTAGAAATCATTGTAAAAAATTATAATAGTAATAATATAATTATATAATGATATCAATAACAAACGGGAATTTCAATATGAAATAATCTTTGCAGGAAAAATCTCTCTCTATATATATACCGGGTGTAAAAGCAAAATTGTCCATTTATTATATTAAGCTTTGAACTGTTTTATTTTAGAAATGATTAAAGGTATCTTACTGGAATTGTCCGAGGTTCATATAAAACTATTGTACTCTACTTTGAGCAATAAGAAATGTATAATTACTTTCCAAGCATAGATGATTCTTGATGAAATCAACCATAAATGAAAGTGACATGTTCATCAAGTATTCACGAATTCTAACTATTCGTGGCCGGATCTGGTCCCTAACGCCCGCGAATACGAGAGACTTACTGTATGTATGCTTCCAAAACTGACTGGTTTATCAGGTATTGTAATTGTATCCATGATTAAGTAAAAGTTAAGTAAATATCTACAAGGAACTCGTGGTATCGAATAATGACTAGCACGTATGTGGTTGTGTGACGTCGTCCCCCGGTCGCAGCGTCGACTGTGTCGTTTGATCCCGGTCGCGGCGCCAATTGTGACGTCACGTGCTCCCCAGGCTCTGATATCCTGGTCACGGACAGCACCAACTGTGACGTCTTTGCCGCGGCGTCAGCTGTTCGCTCCTCGCTGCTCCTAACGTGACGTTCTAACCCTTTGGTTAGATTGATACCAGCCTCGCCGTTCCCAACCCGCTTCCAACACCTGGTTACCAGGGTAACTGCACTGATCTCCAGTTTGCCTACCCACGTTGTGAATTGATCTTAGACAGACGAGATCAAACAGTGGTTGGGGCCGTAATGCAAGTTGAGTCTAACGGGGGTGATAACACAATTATGTATGAAAGAAAAAATAAAAACTCACAAGGTCCAACGTATCAAAGAAAAAGGTAACAAACTTTTTATGTCTATTTGCTCGGTACATAGGACTATATCTACTTCCCGACCCGTTCTGTGGATTGTGGCACGACGCTTTTACTAGGCAACTTTAAGGCTTTCCAGTTGTCTGCTCTCTAAGAAATTTGTGTTTCGGTGTGTCTTTGGACGAAAGTCGAAAAAAGCTTATTTCTGTGGTCTGATTCTAAGTCGCTCTTCAAACTACTTGTTCTTGGTTGAAGAAGAGTCCAGAAGTGTGCGTGAATCTTGGTCAGCTATCTTGACGCGGTTTCAACACTGGGCGCTCATCTCTGCTTGTCGTCCACGGCTGAACTCTTTCGCCGTCCGCTGCTCAAACTCTAACTCAAACTGATTTCTGTCGGTTGGGGTCCCGCTTTTATTGACGCAGTCAAAACTGGGGTGGGTCTGTCGGCGCCAGGGTTTTTTCGATAATTCTAAATACGTATCCACCTTTCTTATTTCTGGTTAGGGATTTTTCATTCCTTTCCATTTTCGGTAATTCACTCTCACTCCCACTCCCTTACTGTGCTTCTGAGGGGCGTGTGCCTGCTTCCCCGCTTCTTCGTATCAGCTTCTCACACTTACACCTGTGACAGGGGCGTCGACCGATTCTCCTCGTGCGTCACGTGACCGCTCTCGGCCAATGAGGTCCTGGTCGGGTATCTTTCCTCCTCCTTCGTGTGTCATGTGACCGCTTTCGGCCAATGAGGTCCTGGTCGGGTATCTTTCCTCCTCCTTCGTGTGTCATGTGATCTTATTTAGCCAATGACGTCTTTAGTCGGGTGTGATCAATCCGTGGCTTTGTTTTGGGGAAAGGAACACCTTGCTTAAAAAACAAAAATATTAATCTAAATCGCCCCCACCATGAGCGACCGCGATGACACCTTCGGCTTTTTAACACGTGGTATTTGTCAAGCAGTTTATCGCTAATTGGATATGACCTAAGAAAGGGATTTCTCAGACCTGTTGGCGTTTTTTTGAACGAAATAAAAATATTTCATTTTCCTCCGGCCGAAGGTCCGATAATAAAAATCTTTATTATCTCAAAAAAAATTTTTTAGCAATTCTGGAGATTGTCTGGGTTTTCGTATTAATGGTTTGCCTTCATATCCTTAGATACACTTCCCCACCCACTTAGACTTTTACTATCATCCAAATGACACACTTTCCACTTGTTAATTATCAATATTTTTCATTGTCCGTAAACTTCGTTTCTTCAACCAATTGATAACAACTTCCATTTTCCCCAGATCTCGGTTAGATGCTTGACCTGGCTATTTTTCGACACCTGTTATCTGTCAGCCGAGCGTGTATGTGCTCGCCTATGACCTGTTTTCGTATTATTTTTTCTTTCTTTCTTCTTCGTTTCTTTTCCTTCTTCCAGATCGCTTGAACGTAAAGAAAGAATTATTCTTTTAAAACCCGAAATATTTTTCGGCCTTAAATAATTATTAAATGGTTGATAAACCGTAAAAAACAAGTCATATATCTATGAATATTTCTTTCAAACCGTGAGGATGCATGGTGCCACAGTTGTCCATAGCTTCTTCTTCTTTTCATCTCTATCTATAAAAGGCAGGATGTGTGTGTGTGTGTGTAACGAATGCACGGCCGCAATTTTCGACGGATTTGCACCAAAACTTACATGCACATGCTCCAAGTTAGCGCGAAGGGCAAGACCTACTTTGAATTTCCCAACTCCCATTCATAGTGGAAATAATCGATTTTTTTCATGCTTCTACGGCAGTTTTCATGTAGTTTGCGGCCAATTTCTACTGGTCAGAGTGAGAGCCTATAGCTGGCTGCCACGAATAGGCAGAAAGATTCTATTGGCCAACGTGAGAGCCAACAGCTGTCTGACACGAATGTTAATTAGCATGCTAGCATGCAAAAAAAATCGATAGCTGTATTCGTCACAAGTGGGAAAAATTTAAATCTGCATGGCACTTTACTCCAATTGGCTTATTCGCTTGCTTAAACTCAACGTTGATTCTGATTCCGCAGAACTGGGTTGGGTGTGAAAAAGTATTTGTTGTTAACATTCTTTTTTCATTCGGTTTTTCCAGTTACGAGTCCTTTTTAAAGCTGATCGTTTTGTGTTCATTTTGTTTAGTTCTTTTTTTGTAACAGATTTAATGTTTAGTATAGAGCTAAGAAAAAATTCGCAGTGTGAGATAGGCAAGAAGTAAGGCATGTAGCAACATCAGCATGACAGAGGGCACTCCTTTAAAGGCAAGGAAGGGCAAATGTATTTTAAGTCAAGTGATAGCGATTGCTGTATGAGACGTACGATTTTTGAATCAAGCACGGGCAACGCCGGGCCATGCTGCTAGTATATCATAAGACTGAAGATTCTTTTTTCGTTATTATCCGTGAATTATAACTCTTCTCGGGAAGGATAGTGGAGTAATTACTCGTTTTTATCACCACGGTTTTATTTCTGATGATTTCTTCGCCTATTTAAGTTGCATGAGTAGAAGAAATTAATTTATGAGTTTTTTTCTTCTTTTTTTTTTTTAATTTAAAATCATTGAAAGCGGTCGGATGGCATTACTATTTTCCCTTTTAAAATGGGGAAGTCGTTGATTTGGGATGCGACCTCTCCGGATACATTTTCGGTCGGTAATTTGATCAGGTCCGCGTTTGAGCCGGGGTCCGTTGCCCGGGTCGCAGAGATAAAAAATAAATAGTTAAATATTCTTCTCTTGCTGATAGATTTTTCTTACTCCTGTAGCAGTGGAGACTTCAGGGGTTATTGGCCCTCGTTCGATGGCGTTCCTTTGTGTGGATTGGTGCGATTGCGTCTCGATTAAGGGACGAGCCTCGCGAAATGGAGTGGCTCTTGCAACGTGTCTCACTGGCCATGGTTCGAGGTAATGCTTTCTCCATCATTTCGGCTGCCGGAGGATAGCAAAAAAAAAAAAAATTCTTTATAGTTACTTCAAACTTTTTTTTTCAATAAATTTAGATATTATCTGTTTAAAAAAATTATGAATGTGAAAGTGAAACTGAAAGAATAGTTCGGAATTTGAACTTGTATTGCTGATTCAACTCTCCGAGTCGAAAACCTCTACACTTATCCGACCATCTATTCATTGCCTTAAGCCAATGTTTAAAGAAACAGATCCGTATCGTCAGGAGAGAAAAAATTCATTTTCGCAAACGTGACTCACTCGCGTGTTCCACGCAACTATTTTATCCACAAGTTGCAGCGTGGAAGGCATTTGTTTCACCGGCAAACCGCGGGGGTGACGTATTGTCACACGGCTACGCAACATCCAATGGTGGAAACCACACTGATTCGATGAGAGCCGCCATACAGCCAACGTAGTCCCAGAGATGTGAGATTTTAATCAATTGACCAGAGGACAATGTCAGGAAGCTAAGCGCTGGACGCTGAACTTCAGCTAGCTTTGCTCTCCATCATCTTGTTCGTAATGTCTGTCAAACTTAATTTTCTTAAACTGGTAGCAAATAGAACCTCAGTGGACTGGCATTATTCTGCAATGCGACGCACACACACACACACACACACAAAGAGAGAGAGAGAGAGAGAGAGAGAGAGAGAAAGAAAGAAAGAGAGATAGCTTACGGCCGCGTACGGTCATCGAAGTTAAGCAACGGCTTGGTCAGTATCTAGATGGGTGACTGCTTGGGAATACTAGTTGATGTAAGCTTGGATGTGCTGATGGTACGAAGGGCGTACGGCCGCATCATGTAGAATCACCAGTTCTCGTACGATCACCGAAGTTAAGCAACGTCGATCCTGGTCATTACCTAGATGGGTGAACGTTTGGGAATACAGGTGATTTCAGCGTGGATGTGCTGTTTGTGTAATGTATAACAGCACAGAATTAGAAGTCGTAGAGCTGAGTTTCAATTCTAGTCGGGTTCATTATACTAACTCACCCGCAAATATTCTTGCGAAAGGTATGAATGCACCTCTTCTACTCTACCCAGCTATGGATTAGATGATAGGGATTATCTCGGTAATAAACGGTAAATAACGATCAATAATACATACACTCATCTCGTTATATATTTTTTTTCTACATACACAGACAGACATATTTTATATATATATATATATATATATATATATATATATATATATATATATATATATATATACAGAATAATAAAATTAATTTATTTCATTCAATTGCTATTTCGATCCGCAAGACATACTTGTTGGCATTGTGGATCGAAAATAACTATTCAAATGAGGTAACTTTGGATTTTTATTCTATGTAATTTATTTGCTCTGTGATAATAAATACATTGAGCTCTTTTTGTGGATCAGTTTTAATATTTTATATTATTAGGATTCTCTTGGATTATTTCCCAGCGAATTATTACCTATCCCTCTCTCTCTCTCTCTCTCTATATATATATATATATATATATATATATATATATATATATATATATATATATATATATATTGCTTTATAAAAGGTTCTTTGTGGCCCAGAGGTAAGGCACGTCAGCGTAAATGACGGTTCCATATATATATATATATATATTAATAAATATACATATACCTACGTTTTGTGCGCGAATTATCTCGTACCTGATGAATTTGTATATAAGAAAACTTGTGCCACACCCAAATAGGTATATGTATATTTATTAATATATATATTTCTTAGCACTGTCTAACTAAGTCGAGCACTGGTAAATTTATACTTTAAAGTAAATTCGGTAATTATTTATTTGCTTGCCTGTGTTGCGGGCTTATACGGTTGCTAATATTTAGTTATTTGATTTACGCACCTTTAAACATATATACATACGTATCTATTTTAAGACATTTCTATGTTTATACATTCTTTTTTATAGATACACATATTTAAATAAATGCTCTGTTTATAATAAACAGTATCAACAACATTTACCGGCCTGAAAAATTGTCATAGAAAAAATGCGCCTTCCGACAGGAATCGAACCTGTATCCTACACGGAACCGTCATATAGCCTGGCGTGCTTTTATCGACTTCACCACAGAGGAGCGTTCCGGTTATCAAGCAGAATTTTCAAGATGAGTACATTGTTGGTGGTTAAACACACACACACGCGTGCGCACACACACACACACACACACACACACACACACACACATATATATATATATATATATATATATATATATATATATATATATATATATATATATATATATATATATATATATGTAATACAAAGTATTAGCAAGGTCGATTTTTACTGTTTTTAAACTACAATTTTCCATGATTTTCACGTACATTCATATCTGCTCGATGCGTATCCAAATGTAAACAAATAACGTTACACATTATGAAATGGAGAAAGTCAGACAATTATTTTTAAGACATTTTTATGTTTGTTTTATGTATAAAAAAAAAGAATGTATAAACATAAAAATGTCTTAAAATAATTGTCGGACTTTGTCCATTTCATAATGTATGAGGTCATTTGTTCACATTGGGATACGCATTGGGCAGATATGAATGTACGTGAGAGATTCATGGAAAATTGTAGTTTAAAAACAGTAAAGTCGACCTTGCTAATACTTTGTCTATTACATATATATATATATATATGTGTGTGTGTGTGTGTGTGTGTGTGTGTGTGTGCGTGTGTGTGTGTGTGTGTGTGTATTAGCCACCAACAATGTACTCATCTTGAAAATTCTCACACGCTTGGTTCATGATATCCTCAGCATCCTTCTGTAGAACAACATCTCCGCCGCCTTTGTCTGTTCAACGAAACACTTTTGATAAAAAATGTTTCCTGCTCAAATATACATTAAACACACACACACGCACGGGCGCGCGCGCACGCACACACACAAACACACACATATATATATATTATAGATAGATAGATAGTTATGTGTGCGTTTGTGTGTGTATATATTTATACAAATATAGTGATTTTCCAAGCATAGCTTAGATGTGGCACAAGGTTGGAGGTATGGAGAATCCAGTGAGAATCGAACTCACTACTCAGTAGTATCTGTTCTAGCGAGGATATTTTGCTAACCGCTAAACCGAGGTGCCCATATTTATACATATACATGTGTGGGCGTCTTTGCATATATGTTTCTTCACAATACTGTACGAGAACTCTTGTAAGAGCGAGTAAATATTGAACGGAGATCAATAGATACTAAGAGAATTTTATATATAATTAGATGTTTAAAGAAGATAGATAGATAGATAGATAGATAGATACGAAGAAAATATGATAGATAATTAAATGGGCCGACTTAGATAGATAGATAGATAGATAGATAGATAGATAGATAAGCCGAATCAGATAGATAGATAGATGGATAGATAGATAGATCGATAGATAGATAGATAAATAGATAGATAGATGAGCCGACTGAGATAGATAGATGAGCCGACTCCGATAGATAGGTGAGCCAACTGAGATAGATAGATAGATAGATAGATAGATAGATGAACAGACTGAGATAGAAAGATAGATAGATAGATAGATAGATAGATGAGCCGACTCCGTTAGATAGGTGAGCCGACTGTGATAGATAGATAGATAAATGAACAGACTGAGATAGATAGATAGATAGATAGATAGATAGATAGATAGATAGATGAGCCGACTGAGATAAATAGATGAGCCGACTCCGATAGATAGGTGAGCCGACTGAGATAGATAGATAGATATAGATAGATAGATATGAAGAGAATGTGATAGATAGATAGATGAGCTGACTGAGGTAGATAGATAGATAAATAGATAGATAGATAGATAGATACGAAGAGAATGTGATAGATAGATAGATGAGCTGACTGAGATAGATAGATAGATAGATAGATAGATAGATAGATAGTTTGCGTGATATGACCTAACTTTTATCTTTATTCTCAGTCATGAACATATCTGTGTGGGCGAGACTTCTTCGTCTTATCACTGCTGAACGCAAATGACACCCCAGGGATGAAAATCGAGTCGGAATTCTGGTTTTCCTGACGCCAGTATTATGGCTGTGACAACACCGCACCGTTGTTTGATTTCTCAAATTCTACCCTCTGTGTCGATACCAGTACTTTTTGGCAAAGATCGCTAAACTTCTTTTAGAAAATTAAAATCTATTGACTAAAAATATTAATTCCTAACTTACTAAGTTCCATACTCTATACACATTCTTCATATTAAAATGATAAATCTCATTGTTTTTACCAATACCAAGGCTCGCGAGTAACTCAAGTTAGAGCATGTGTGTTAAAAAGCCTTTTACGTTTATTTAATTAATTTTTTCGTCATCAATCTTATTTTCTCTATAAAGTTAACTTACACAATCAGAAAATCCAAACTGTTTTTTAAATATTTTTCTAATATTGTTTATCTTTTCTGTTATATAGGGTGTTCCAATAATTTGGACCGATTTTAAATGTGAATTAAGTTTAAGCGCGTAATGATTTTTTGTCTTTCACTTTCAGTTAATAATAAACAAGCCATCCTTTGTCCCATTTAACAACACACACGAAAATCGTTTTTGACATCACCCGAGAATTTTTGGTTTTAAATGAAAAATGGAGGGACATGGGTTGTATTTTCTTTTATTTCGAAGAATACAAACAGAAAAGAAAAATATGTGCCGTTTGAGGAGATGGTTCTATAGCTGAACATAATATTCATAAGAGATTGGCTAGTTTAAGATTTATACGAATTTTATCGAGTACGTATGCAAACACCGGTGACCCAACCGTTGTTAGTAAACGGTGTTCCAATAAGTTGCGTACTGAACTCGAGGACGTACCATTCAAAGCCTATCAGTTACAACTTACAACCCCTATGAAATCGTATATGTCTTGAACAAAATTTTAATTAAATAAATCCATCTGAACTCGAGGACGTACCATTTAAGGCCTATCAGTTCCAACTTACAACCCCTATGAAATCGTATATGTCTTGAACAAAATTTTAATTAAATAAATCCATCTGAACTGAGGACGTACCATTTAAGGCCTATCAGTTCCAACTTACAACCCCTATGAAATCGTATATGTCTTGAACAAAATTTTAATTAAATAAATCCATCTGAACTCGAGGACGTACCATTTAAGGCCTATCAGTTCCAACTTACAACCCCTATGAAATCGTATATGTCTTGAACAAAATTTTAATTAAATAAATCCATCTTAAAATTTTCCGTCAGCTGATTACTTAGTAAGAGCAATTAATCAAATACTTTAGACTGCATACAATAATTGTCTTCATGCGTTTCAAGACTTGAAAAGGCGATTGATTCTGGTTATTTTTTTAATAAAACTATTTATTGATTATCATTATTATTACTAGTGTACCCGTGCCGTCAAAAATGACAGCAATTGTCAGAAAGTTTTAATAGTGAGATGCAACGAAACAAAAGTCTTGAAACTAGATTCCATAAAACGGAAATAAAGAATTTACAACTGAAATAGAAACCAATGAACCGTTTAATTAATCCGTCCATTTCATATTTTTGCATGTTCAATAGTATCTATGCTAGGCTGTTTATTCCTGGTATTTCATCAATCGATATTTGTTCAATTTTTTTTTTCATGTCATTTTTTGTATTTAATATAACATTGAAATGAAAATATCTCACGGACGAAAAAAAAATGATTAGCAACGGAATGACAAAGACGGCGACGACAGAAACTGTTTCCGAACCAAGTTACAGCAAAAGGTATCTGACTGCCTCACATGAAAGTCTTGAACAATTAAGACTGCAATATAAGAAACAGTCCATATTTCTGAGATGAGGTATTATGTACACTATTTACATTATTCGGACTATTGTCTTCATCTTTGTCGCCATATTTATTACAACGTTTCAGATCCTTCTCTGGTTTTCCTCATTGGTAATTCTGTGGGATCAGGTTGAGATCATAGACAAAGTACACCATTGTAAAATCCGTAAACTTAAGAAATCAGCACATATGCTAGGCCACAAAAATCTCCTGAGCCGACCAAGCATAGAAATAAATACAATATGGGAACCAGTAATAAGGAGTGACAGAGAAAAGCGATAATAATAACAGACATTGCAATATGAGCTCCGGTAAAACATGTAATGAGAACATCAAAAATTGCAATATGAGCACTGGTAAAAAAATATGGTAGCTGAAGACATTAGGTTTATAATATCCAGAAATTCATACACATATGTCCTCAAGGACACGTGGCACAGTGGATAATTATTGACAGTAGTCAGTAATTGAAAACACCTTTTAAAGGTGTTAGCTAGGTCCAGTGAAAGGACCCGAAGAGTGTGAGTTCAATAACCGGTTAAGGCAGTGGAGAACTCTCAGAGGGGAATTAACAGGAAAGAACTGATAACTGACATCCGTTAAACATGGCACGTGGAACTAGAACAGTCTACCCCAGTGAGCGAAATAAAGGGTTCAGTTTGATATTCCAACCACCTGAAGAAGGCCGAGGCTTACAACGGCCGAAACGTTGTAATAAATATGGCGACAAAGATGAGGACAATAATCCGAATAATGTAAATCTAAGAAACGGAGGAGTAATGGAACCGAATAATTAAACTGTTAATTTGCTCGGGAACCAATTTCGTCTAAATGCAAATGAGTACTTTATTAGTATTGATTATTAAAGTGACAAAGGGAAGTAATCACGCCCAAGTTTACTAACTTAAGTTGATTTACACACTACAGATGGGACAGAAAATATATAAATAAACACACTGTAAGTATATAACTAAATACACATTTATAATTTTTATATGGTTTTATTACAAGATTTGAACCCGTGTGATTTTTACCTGTGGGGGTACATGAAATCAAAGGTATACACTGATCACCCTCAATCTATTGATCAATTAAATGATACCATTCGTCAAGAAATTGACACCATTTCACATGGATTGACCCATAATAATTTATTATAGGATATTACATTTGAACATATGTAAGACCGCTACATAAATTCATTCATGTTTCTATGCATATCATCAAATCTCATCAGGACGTAGTAATATATATATATATATATATATATATATATATATAAAGACATTTTTTATATTTATGCGTTCTTTTTACAGATACACATATTTAAGTAAATGCTCTGTTTATAATAAACAGTATTAACAACATTTACCGGCCTGAATGTCCGAGAAATTTTCATAGAAAATATGCCTCCTCCGACAGGAATCGAACCTTTATCCTATACGGAACCGTCATATATATAACCTGACGTGCTTTTACCGGTTGATCTACAGAGGAGCGTTTCGGTTAGCAAAGTCGATTTTACTGTTTTTAAACTACAATTCTTCATGATTTTCTCTCATACATTCATATCTCCTCGATGCGTATCCAAATGTAAACAAAATAACATCAAACATTATGAAATGGATAAAGTCCGAGAAATATTTGTATCTATAAAAAAAACGTATAAACATAAAAAAAATGTCTTAAAATAAATGTCGGACTTTGTCCATTTCATAATATATATATATATATATATATATATATATGACGCCTCTTAGGATACAGTATTTTAACAAGAGCCAGATAAAAACAATAAAGGTTGGGGGCAATGCTGCCATAACTGGGATGAAGCTGCCCAGCCAACACTGCTTTTCTTGGTAGATTTTAAAAGCGTCTACGCGGCCTTGTAGGCACTGAATTATTTTCCACCTTGCAAATCCCTTCCCACAAACGAAACTTTGCGAAGTGTTTATTGTTTAATCCTTATTTCCATGGCATGAGTTATGGCGAGCTTAGTGCCACCACTTGGACCTTTACATGTGGCCATACTACGTACGTGAATCATACCCATCCTCTCCGTATTCCTAGTAAGTCTAGAAAGACGTTCCATTCGAACAGTTTCTTCCCAAGAAGTTGTGCTTGGGGGAGTAGACTCCCCGAGGGATGTTTTCCCAATCCTTACAATCTTTACCCGGGCACTTCGGCATGGTGTAATGATTATCAATCTCGTCTCGCTCGACCAATTAGGACATGAATAGTGACACCGCTCCTCATTCGGTGCTCAATACTTTCGGCCTTGTGCCACATCTAAGCTTCCCAGAGAAAACGACAACCACTATGATCTTGGCCTCTTCAAGTGTTATCCGCTATTTTTGTTGCACAATCCCATTAACTTTACTTGACTTTTCTTATGTTGATACAGCACAAAACAGAAATTGTTTAACTTGAGTGGCTCTTGGGCCTTGTATTAGGTGAACATTAGTGTAAAAAATATGTTTCGTATTACTATAAACATTATTTTTAATGGGTACACGTGTTTACGTGTGTCGGAGTGTATGTATATAAGCAAGAAAATGAAGGTTTGGTAACACTTTATTGACATTAGTCAGTAATTGAAATCACCTTTTATAGGTGGAGAATGCCCTGCTTTGCAATTTACCCAAGTGTAATTTGCTCATGCTAAGTGCTTCCCAATGCAATTACGGCCTTGTTACCGCTACGGCAAACAGATTAGAAAACCTAATATTCAATGTGTTTTGCGCTTTACGCAATACGAAAAAAATGAATTACTTGATCTCATTTTCAAGGCTTCTCAAGCGAGCAGTACAACAAGTCACACTATGCGCTTGCGCCGAGTCTACTCCTGCTAAAGGGAGGAGCGTGTTAGTGGCGGGGAGATATCAGCAATTTTCTGCTTGGCAAAATGGGGTCTGTGAACGTATTTCAAATTCATGCCTACGACTGTTTAGGTTCACTTCACAATAGTTCACTTAAGAAATAATTCGCCCTCTCTCTCTATTTCTCTCTGTCTGTCTATCTATCTATCTATCTATCTATCTATCTATCTATCTCCTATGTCTAGATATTCTAATAGAAAGTCTCGTCACTGATATGCCACTGTATTATGCAAGGAGGAAAAATGAGATGTGTGAGCATCTCCTTTACAATCAATGACGTCTCATATATCGTTACTCATATAGACATACCAATGGTTGAGCTGATTCTGATTTTTCTAGGCTTATAAAAAGATAGAGACATTACATTTTCTTTTCTATACTGTTTTCCATCAGAATAGAGACGCTCTCTAAATCTTTCTACCTTTCGTAGTCCTAAGACTTGTTCGTCTCCTTACTCTCTCTCTCTTAAACTGTTTTCCATCAGAATAGAGACGCTCTCTAAATCTTTCTACCTTTCGTAGTTCTAACACTTGTTTGTCTCCTTACTCTCCCTCTTAAACTGTTTTCCATCAGAATAGAGACGCTCTCTAAATCTTTCTACCTTTCGTAGTCCTAAGACTTGTTTGTCTCCTTACTCTCCCTCTTAAACTGTTTTCCAACAGAATAGAGACGCTCTCTAAATCTTTCTACCTTTCGTAGTTCTAACACTTGTTTGTCTCCTTACTCTCTCTCTTAAACTATTTTCCTTCAGAATAGAGACGCTGTCTACATCTTCCTAACTTTCGTAGTTTTAAGCATTGTTTGACTCCTTACTCTCCCTCTTAAACTGTTTTTCTTCAGAATAGAAACGCTCTCTACAACTTCCTATTTTTCGTAGTTCTAAAACTTGTTTTTCTCATTACTCTCCCACGTAACTAGTCTCCTTCCATCTATGTACACGAGATCCTTAGGTAGGTTATTAGTTGTCTCCCTCTGTTAAGTTTGCCTTTAATGTGTCCTGTGAGTATTAAATTTGCGTACCCTTCTTCCCTCGTTATAGCCATAGAAATGTCAATTATCACATACTGATTCTAAAGACAATCATTTTTATTTTTATTTTTCCATTTTTCTTAAAACCAACATGTTCCTCAAATGTTCGATCCATGTTATTCTCAGTATCCTTCTGTAGCGCTACTGTTGCCTCATGTTTTCACTTTATCTGTGTGGGAATTGTCCCGCCTCCATTGTCACATAGTTAACACTCTTTATCTTGTTTCTAACGTTTTTTTTTCTTTAGGTTTCTTAATGTTTTGTAAGCCAACAGCCACATCACGTTGAAACACTGTACGATCACAGAAAGTAAGCAACGTCCAGCCTGGTCAATAACTAGATGGGTGACCGATTTTGAATGACATGTCTAGTATGCTTGGTTATGCAGGTGATGTAATGTGTAATGCCTCGCAATTGTTAATCGGAGAGCCGAGTTCCAATTCCTGTTGGGTTCGTTATATTCACTTGCGCACAAATACCATTGGGAAAAACTATGAATTCACTTCTTCTCTCCCCAGATATGGGTTAATTAGTAAGACTTGTATCACTAAATCATAATTATCCCCATCAAATCTTACAATCTAAAAATATGTTATGGATTTAAATAATTTTTAAAAGGTCGATATATTGTAGAAAACAAATCAATCAATTAGTTAATGATTTGCTAACTGTTAAAAAAGAATATTTCCTATTCTAATGTCAGTGGCTAAGAAAAAATACAAACGTTAGTAGAAGAATGTAAATATGATATATTGAATAGAAATATATTACTAACACCTAGGTTAGGAATTGTTAGTGGTCATAAAGAATGATAAAATCTATTATCAAAATTAAGCCGTGATATATATGTATATAATGTAAAGTCCTTCATAATTGATTGATTGTCACAATATAGATATTGTATCAATGTTATGTTACTAATGATACTGTTTATATCATATTAATAATGTCTATATTATATTGGTACTATTCTTACGATATATTGCATTGTAAATGAGGAATAAAGAGATTATCCATAGTCAGGAACGGATGGCCTAGGTAAGGTGGTTGATGAAGATCAGAAACAAGGATAAGAACCATCTGTTGTTCCGTTATTAGTGTGAAAGTATGTACGTGCATAGGCGTTTAACCCGCCCTTCATTACTGGATGTGTTAAGACCGATCGAATTAAGTCAAATATCCGGTCAGAGACAGCAGGTCAAACGTCTATAAAAATTAAGAATTACTTCTAACTGAAAATTCGTTAACACATATTGTTTTAAACGGTAAAAATACTAAGATACTCAGAGAATTAATCTTTTCTAAACAAGATCGTCTGCAAGTGTCAAATAAAATGGCGCCCTATTGGGGCATCGTCTGCAAGTGTCAATTAATATAGTGCCTTTTTTACGACGGCACTCATTCGTTAAATTTCGATGTCACTTCAACTAAGAGACGTCGAAATTTAACTTGTCAATTTTTTAAAATTTATTTTTGAACTAATAAGACCCGTCGCAAAAGGGCACCATGTTTTGATACTTGCAAAAACAAATGATTACATCAATTCTGTAGAAATAAAAACAATTTTTACAAAATCATTCTGTGAAATCAGCAAAATTAAGAATTTATATATACGCCAAACAATCTAGAAGGAATCCTGTTTTTATACCAGAAAATGGGTGCTTTATTTTTCTTTGCACCACTTCCATTTTTTAGATCTTCAGGTTTTATCTCCATATATATATATATATATATATATATATATATATATATATATATATATATATAAAAAAGTGAACATAGAGGTCAGCACTTAGAGGCGACAGTCTGTTTCATGCTATATGCAATCGTCAGGCCACGTGTGGTGTTATTTTTCTCGGCTATTTATACATATACGGGTCAGTAGTACATTGTGGGTAGTCTATTATGGCGGTTATTTTACCGGAAGTCGTTTATTTATTTATTTGGGTTAAATTATTTTGCTTGTTTTTATTTAATTTTATTTTTTGTTTCTTATTTTTATTTATTTATTTACTTATTTTTTAATCGGTGTTTTTATTAACGTAGTAAAATTTGTTTATATTGCTTATTAGTTTTGTTTTGGTTTGAGAATTTAATTAAAGCTATTTGTTCGGTTTTGGGGTTGGTTGTTGTAGTTTAT